GGACTGGAGGGGGGACACGGGGTAACCGCGGTGATCCGGGGCACGGCGGGGACGTGGGGCGTCAGTGGGTCTGGGGGAGCCGAGGCATCACCGGGATGGGCGTTCGGGGCCTGGGGTTGCCGGCAGTGTCACCGCGGATGGGGCGGCTCCGGCGGGGCTCGGAGCACAGCGGTAACGGGGACGTCACCGGAGCGCGGGGTGGGCGCCGGGCATGGGGAACCTCTGGAGTACCGGGGGTACCGGGGCTGAGGGGCTTGTGGGTCTAGAGCATGGCGGTAACAGGGATGTCACTCGGGCTGGGGTTGGTTGGATTCGGGCTCAGGGTCCTCACCGGCGCTCGGAGCACTGTCACCGGGCACGGGGGTACCGGGGGTGTCACCGGGCACAAGGGCGTCGCTGGATCTGGGGGGCTGCATGCACTGAGATACAACGCCGTCACTGGGCATGGGGGCTCTGGACATGGAGTTCACGGGGTGCCACCAGGCAGGAGGAGGCTTGGAGCGCGGAGATAGTGGGCTGTCACCGCGGGGGGACTCGGAACATGGGGTTCCATGAGCAGGTCTGTCACCGTGCTCGGGGCACAGAGACAGCACCGGGGCTGCAGGGTCAGGGGTGTGCAGGTGGTGGGGATGCCATTGGGACTGGAGGAGCTCGGGGCTTGGAGGTTCCAGGGGCATTCCTGGGGCTGGAGGAGGGGAGTAATGGGGTTCTCAGCAGGGCTCTGGTGCTTGGGGGTGTCACCAGGGCTGGGGGGAATTGGGCTAAAGAGATTATGAGAGTATCACCAGGCTTGCATCATGAGGTTGACCCTGGGGCTGGGGAGACTCAGGACATGCAGACAGTGGGGTACTAATGGGGCAGGGGACCTGGGGGCATACAGGGGGCAATGGGGGGGTGTCCAGGCTGGGGTTCCATCCCCCCGATGATCCTGGTGCTGGCAGCCTGGCAGCGTCCCTACCTGAACATCTTCAAGCACTTCCGTGTGGAGGAGTGGAAGCGCTCTGCCAAGGAAGGGGACGTGGCCGCCCTCACGGTAACGGGGCCGCCATGGGTCGGGGGGCACTGGCCAAGAGTGGGCAGTGCTGACCCACCCCCATCCTTCCCTGGTTTCCAAAGGACACGAGGATGAAGGGAACAATCTACCGCATCCGAGGCTCCAACCCAGCCAGCAGCTACCTGCAGCTGCCACGGACAGGGACACAGTCCCTGGGGCTGACAGGGCGCTACCTCTACCTGCTCTTCAGGCCCCTGCCCCACAAGCACTTCCTCGTGCACCTGGATGTCACCACCGAGGTCCGTGACACGGAGTGGCCTCTTACACTGCCATCA